TATTATGGTTTTACATAAAATCAAGTTTAAAATAGAGAAAGCCTATTTCGTACAAAAATTATGTTACTTAATTTAATTTTATTATTAATGCAGTGGTTTTTGTTAATTTGTGTTTTCATAAAACTAAACGTTTTTATTTAATTTGAAAGTATTACAATTATCAAAAAATAAAAGCAGAACTAAAATATTTGAAATAATTTTGACGTTTTTTTTCCTGGTTTAATTACATAAATAATTTTGGTTCGTTTTCAATGACAATTGCAAAACTAATAGAAAACTTAGGGCCGTTTTACAGAACGTGTTAATCGCAATTAAATTTTAAACTTGACGTTTGTCAATGCAAAATAAATGGCAGCTTAATTAATTAGTTTAACTAATTCTGAATTAAATTTTAATTTCGCTTCTACTCAAAGAATTACACCACTCGTGGTAAAGGCACACGTGGAATTAATTTTTCTTCTCGCAAATAAACAATAGTTTAATTCATTTGTTGTTTTACATAAAATCAAGTTTAAAATAGAGAAAACCTATTTCGTTCAAAAATTATGTTAATTCATTTTATTTTGAAAAAACAGTTAAAAAAATATTAAGTTAATAATGATTTGTTTTTTCGTCAATGTCATTATTAATGCATAATTTTCTTTAAGAAATGGTTTGTTAAATTTTTCATTAAAAAAATTCATTATTTTTATTTAATTAATTTGACGTTTGTCAATGCAAAGTAAATGCAAATTAATACGAATTAGTTTAATTCTGAATTAAATTTTAATAATTTGGCTTTCTGTAAACTGAACTGAAGAAACTGCAATCCGATAATTTACGACCCTGTCTGCTTGCGGTTAGAAGGGTCGTCATCCAGCAGGGGCTGGTTTATTGAGGCGTCATTTTCATTTTGTTCGACTGTACATAAAGTAGCCAATTTTTTGTGCAAGATATTTTTGTAAATATTAACATTGGAGAATGGGTCGCAGTGTCATCTTAACTAAAATTTAATAATCTACCTCGCTGTAGAATCGGTTTTATAAAAAAGTTACTTATTTACGGTAAAATAATTAATGTCAGAATTTTCTTACATATGGTTTATAATACAACGTTGCTATTTAAGCAGTAACAATATTAAATCAAAGTCTACCTCGCTGAAGAGTTCTTTTTTTTTCAACTTTATAATTTTTTAATATAAATGAAAAAATTAGTTTAAGATTTCAGTCGGTAAATACCCGATCTGTTCGAGTTCCACCATGATTTACAACACCCTCTCTGCACGTGCGGTCCTAGCATTTTGTAATTTATGGAGGGTATAAAATTGGGACTTTTGGGGTTCTTTTTTCCAACAAAACAAATTCTTACAGTAGTTCTTTAAAATGAGGGTTATCATTGTTCATTATACATATTTAATCGACTCTAGTTAGATGATTTTGGAAAGAGTGAAATAGTAAATATTTACTCCACGATGAAACTAAAAAAATATGTTGAATAAAAATAAATAAAATTAGGTAATAAGTATAGGCATTATCTACAGGGTGTGCCAGAACTCGCGCCCCAGAGAAAAATGCTATATAAGGTAAGATATCAGGAACATGAAAAAATGTTTAAAAAATTCTATCTGTCAGTTATGAGAGTTTAAAATTTGTACTTCGACTCTATTTATTTCTGTTAGAAAAATAATTTTCCAAGTTTTTTTGCAACAGTCTATTAGAAGAGGAAACAAAAAAGCTGTATCCTAAATTGTAACTCTGTTCAATGTTATTTGTGGCTTTTATTGGCAAAACTTTTGTACCTTTACTAAATAATTGTAAAAAAACATATACAAGATCATCAGTATCATTAAATAGACATAAAAAAATGTCAAAAAATAAATGTCAAATTTTTTTGACAGATAGAATTTTTTAAACATTTTTTTCCATGTTCTTGCTTAAAATTTTTCTCTGGGGCGCGAGTTTTGGCGCACGCTGTATACAGGATGTTCCGTTTTTATTGTTACAAATTTAAACAGGTGATAAGATATTCAATTCTAAGACAAAAGTTTCCTATAAACATGTATCGAAAAATGCTTGGTAAGGCTACACCCCTTGGAAGGGGGCTAAGATGTTTTTGCTAATATTTCAGAAACCATTTGAGATAAAATTACAAAATTTGTTACAGATGATAATCTTTATACACCTAAACGAATTCAAACATCAAATGTCGAAATTTTTAATCAGGGGTGTACGAAACTGGGGGAGTTTAAGGTATTTATTTTGGCTTTAGTTTCTTGGTACTTTCAGCAAGAAAATCATAAGTTCGATAGTTTATCACAGAAAAGTCTCTCTTGTTTTGATACGAATTATTGTTTTTGAATAAAATTAATTTAAAATTTATGTTACACACTAATACAACATTCAAATAAATCAGAATTTACAGAATAATAAAAGCAAGAAATTCATATTTTTTAATCAACCTCAACTAATTAACATTACATTACAGTAACAATTATAACATTAATTAAATGAATTTGCTTGAATCTAAAGGAGTTGTTCAAAGTTACCACCTTTTGGGTCAATGCATAACTAAAGAAACTAGAGCCAAAATAGATAGGGTATTTTTTTACCCTAAACCCCACCAGTTTCGGACGCCCCTGATTAGAAATTTCGACATTTGATGTTTGAATTCGTTTAGGTGTAGGTATAAAGATTATCATCTGTACCAATTTTTGTAATTTTATCTTAAATGGTTTCTGAAATATTAGCACGAACCTATTAGCCCCTTTTCAGGGGGTGTAGCTCCCTTACCAAGTATTTTTCGATACATGTTTATAGGAAACTTTTGACTTAGAATTGAATATCCTATCACCTGTTTAAATTTGTAACAATAAAAACAGAACAGCCTGTATAAATACCTACCAAAATAAAGTTTTTTGACATTTAAATAGTATTAAGTCCCCCTTTGACAATCAAACTGCTTTATGTCCAAGACATAAAGGCCTAAGTACTCCAGCTGTAAAATTTGTGTATAATTTGTACATATTTTTTTACATTTATTGGCACTGGTATAAAACATTAAAATTATTTCTTAAAAGAAGGACAGTTTTTATTCTCTCTGCAAAAATGCAAATTTGGACGAACTGCTTTTTGAAAGTCTGCTCCTCAGTTGTGGACATTAAATCACCACTGCTTTATTATAGGTAATGCCTATACTTATTACCTAATTTTATTTATTTTTATTCAACATATTTTTTTAGTTTCATCGTGGAGTAAATATTTACCATTTCACTCTTTGTAGAGGTCATCTAACTAGAGTCGATTAAATATGTATAATCAGAGGCGTAACTAGAAAATTTGGGCCCTCCCGCGAAAGACGACTGTGGGGCCCCCTCTCTTCTCCGGATCGGGAGTTAAATAAAGTAAAAGAGCAGTTATGTCTCTAGTAGTCTCTAGTATTAAAAATTCTGCAAATACGAATACGAATATACAAATTTTTCACAAGTTATGCCAAACGACAAACTTCTTCTTCTCTTATTCTTTTCGTATTCTTTAAGCACTACCATTAAGTGCTTTTGCTTTTTTCATTGAGATTAATTTTGACGTCATAAAAATACATGTTTAGGTACTCTTGTCATGTTTATGTCATTTTGACTAATTTTCAAAAACAGTGATTTGTGGCATAATAACGGGTAGGCAGCCGATCAAAATGATGATTTTTTTTTCGGCAATCTGTCTCTGCGACATTCCTTTTTCAGTGAATGTTATCACCCTTACTTTATTGAAAAGAGTAACTCTATTTTTGGATTTGCGAAAAATTCAAACAAAAAAAGTTTATAATTGTCAATGAACTTTTTAAAGTGACAGAAAAATACTGCCCGAAATTTTAATTCCGCAACTGTATAAAAGATAAGACTTACTTAAAATCTTAAACAAGTAGTTTTCACAGATTACATCACGATCAGAAGTGCTTGTTCGAACATGACACTGACGCGGGAAATAGGATTATTAACAGCTGATAATATGGTGCGAACTGAAATAAATTATAACACAAAACAATTTCTTTCCAGGATTGTAGTTCCTCGAAATGTTTTGTCTTCCTCAGCCTTCGGCCTCGGCGTATTGCGCCTGGCTCGACACTGAATACGCTCGAAGAAGAGAAAATTCTGCAGTTTTTTATTTTTTATTGCATTGGCCTATAATAATTCATGTACTCGCTCTAATTTTTTTTAAACTATTACTATTATTATTATTATTATTTTTAATTTGGAAAGGGCCTTTTATCCCAAGGGCCCCCCCGCGGCCGCGGGCTTTGGCAGGTGGGTAGTTACGCCACTGTGTATAATGAACAATGATAACCCTCATTTTAATGAACTGTAGTAAGAATTTGTTTTGTTGGAAAAAAGAACCCCAAAAGTCCCAATTTTATACCCTCCATAAATTACAAAATGCTAAGACCGCACGTTCCGAAGAGAGGGTGTTGTAAATCATGGTGGAACTCGAACGGATCGGGTATTTACCGACTGAAATCTTAAACTATTTTTTTCATTTATATTAAAAAATTATAAAGTTGAAAAAAAGAACTCTTCAGCGAGGTAGACTTTGATTTAATGATGTTACTGCTCAAATAGCAACTTTGTACGATAAAGCATTTGCAAGAAAACTTGTATCAAAAATTCTGACATATTAATTATTTTTTTTTACCCTAAATGAGTAACTTTTTTATAAAACCGATTCTACGGCGAGGTAGATTTTTAAAATTTAATTAAGATGACACTGCGACCCATTCTCCAATGTTAATATTTACAAAAATATCTTGTATCAAAAAGTGGCTACTTTATATACAGTCGAACAAAATGAAAATGACGCCTCAATAAACACGCCCTTGCTGGATGCCGACTCTTCTAACCGCAAGCAGGCAGGGTCGTAAATTATCAGATTGCAAACTTGTAGTTTTAAGATAAGTAAATGCCTCTAAGAGCCGCTTTACAAAAAGCGAAATGAAAATTTAATTCAGAATTAAATTAATTCGAATTAAGTTGCCATTTATTTTGCATTGATAAACATCAAATTATTTAATTGAAAATATTGCATTTTTTTAATGAAAAATTTTAACAAACTATTTCTTAATGAAAATTATGCATTAATAATGACATTGACGAAAAAACAAATCATTATTAACTTAATATTTTTTTTACTGTTTTTTTAAAATAAAATTAATTAACATTATTTTTGAACGAAATAGGCTTTCTCTATTTTAAACTTGATTTTACATAAAACAACAAATGAATTAAACCATTGTTTATTTACGAGAAGAAGTTTTCTATTATTTTTGTAATTGTCATTGAAAACGAAACAATTATTTATTTAATTAAACCAGGAAAAAAACGGCAGAATTATTTCAAATATTTTGGTTCTGCTACCAAATTTATTTTTTGATAATTGATAATACTTTTAAATTAAATAAAAA